ATCGCTTAAGCTCAAGAGTTTGAGATTGCTGTGAGCTGTGATGCCACAGCACTCTACTGAGGGTGACATAGTGAGACTCTGTCTCAAAAAAAAAATAAAGAAAGAAAGAAAAAAGAAAAGAAAATGGAGTCACTAGAACTGGCTGTAACTACTTGTCCTTCAATTGGTTGTTTGTCCACAATAGCATTGAAAGAGACGTGAGACTTTTTGTTTAGATAATTAGAAGTTTCTAATGTTCTGTTTTCCCCCATGAAGACAATTAAGTAGAGTTCAGAGTGACTCTTACAACTCAACCCCATGTTTTAAGAATGGGAAAACACAGGCAAAAGAGTCAATGTATTTGGTTTGAAATTCATATCTCTGGATAACTACAGAGCCTAAATGAGACACTTCTTCATGGGATTTTTTTTTTGAGTATTATTTTCATTTTACCACGGGCCCCTTATGCTAGCTGGGTTCCAATTTCTTCATATGCACATCAACACTTACTAGGTAAGAGGTTGGCAAACCTTTTCTACAAGGAGCCAGATAGGAAATATATATATATATATTTTGTTTTGTTTTGTTTGTTTGAGACAGAGTCTCACTATGTCTCCCTCAGTAGAGTGCAGTGGTGTCACAGCTCACAGCAACCTCAAACTCTTGGGCTTAGCCATTCTCTTGCCTCAGCCTCCCAAGTAGCTGGAACTACAGGCACCCACCACAATACCTGGCTATTTTTTTGTTGCAGTTGTCATTGATTTTAGCTGGCCCTGGCTGAGTTGGAACCTGTCATCCTCGGTGTATGTGGCTGATGCCCTCCCCATTGAGCTATGGGCACTGCCAACTAGGAACTATTTTGAGCTTTGCAGGCCATACTCTGCCTTAAGTATTTAACTGCCATTGTAGTATGAAAGCAGCTGATATATAGACAGATGGTTGTGGCTGTGTTTCAGTAAAACTTCATGGCCAGCAAAATTTGAATTTCCTTTAATTTTCTCATTTTATGCAATGTCCTTTTTTTCCTCCAATAGTTTTAAAATATATAAAAAACCCTAATATTCTCAGCTTGTGGGCTACATCAAAACAGGTAGCAGGTAGTTTTGGTCTACCCTTGTGGTTTCCTGACCCTGATCTCACTGATACCAAAAACTCATTTGATAGAACTTATCTTTTCTGGTTTTAAAACTCTAAGCAGCTCCTGTTTGATTCTGCAATCCCATTACTGGGCATCTATCCAGAAGGAAAAAAAACCTTTTATTATAAAGACACTTGTACTAGGCTGTTTATCACAGCTCAATTTACAATCGCTAAAAGGTGGAAACAGCCTAAATGTCCTTCAACCCAGGAATGGAGTGGTACGCTGTGGTATATGTATACCATGGAATATTATTCAGCCATTAAAAGAATGGAGATTTTACAGCATTTGTACTGACCTGGATGGAGGTGGAACACAGTATTCTTAGTGAAGCATCACAGGAATGGAGAAGTATGACTCGTATGTATTCAACTTTGATATGAGGACAATTAATGACAATTAATGACACGGTGGGAAGGGCAGACCAGACAGAGAAGGAGGGAGGGGGTGAGGGAAAGGAAAAGAAGAAAAAAGAAAAGAAAATAGTGACTAATTCTCACATAAATTGGATTTAATTTTGACCAAAGTACGTTACTTAAACATTAATTTTTAATTCAACTTGTTAATATGTTGTTTAGGGTATTGCATCCTCATTTATAAGTGAAATATGTTTGTAATTTCCCCTTTATAATAATACAGTTTCTTCAATTTTAATATCAGGTGTATCCAGATGAAGTAGAATGATTTTGAAGTATTTCTTCTTTTTCTATTGTCTATAAGATTTGGCATGGTCTGCTTTTTGAAATTATCTTTTATTTTTATTTACAAATATTAGTTGTTTATTTTTTGAGACTTTGGAAAAAAATAATAAGAAGAAGTTAACTGGTGACTCCATACTGAACCTCAGAGTCAAAGCATTCTATAATAGACATACTCTTATTTGACAATGTGAATGTTACTTTCTTTGCATTATTATTATTATTATTAAAGGTTTTCTTTTTGTTTGTTTGTTTGTTTTTTTAGAGACAGAGTCTCACTTTATTGCCCTTGGTAGAGTGCTGTGGTGTCACAGGTCATAGCAACCTCCAACTCCTGGGCTTAAGTGATTCTCTTGCCTCAGCCTCTTGAGTAGCTGGGACTACAGGCGCCTGACACACGCCCGGCTATTTTTTTGTTGCAGTTTGGCTAGGCCGAGTTTGAACCTGCTATCCTTGGTATATGGAGCTGGCACCCTACCCACTGAGCCACAGGCACTGCCCTGCATTATTATTATTATTATTATTGCTTAATATTTCAATGCAGCAATCGTCTGATTTCTTTTCTGAATGTATTTATCTTCGTTCGTTCTTTACGAGGTTTTTGTTTCTAGTCCTTATCTTAAACATTGTTTTTGTTATTAAATTTTAAGCCTTTTTAATTTTGTGAAGGCAAAAAGTAGAAACCTAATAAACACATGTATAAAACAAACAAACAAACAAAAAAACCAAACTATAAGCAGGGCCAGCAATCTACTTTCTTAGTGTGTTAGAGAACATCTGGCTGACTCCAATAGCCCTCCTTAATAGCAGAGGAGAATTTTCACATGTGAATACCAGCCCATTATTTCTACTTGTAGGAATGAATCCCATGGAATAAGACTGTTTAACACTGTTCTTTAGTGTTAACTTGAGTATCCCATGGAATAAGTGTTAACTTGAGTATCCCATGGAATAAGACTGTTTAACACTGTTCTTTAGTAGTAACTTGAGTATCCCTGAATCAGGGACTGGTTAAATAAATGGTGGCTTTATCTACAAGACAGAAAACTAAGGAGTTGTTAAAGTGACTGTAGTATATCTAAAGGTATTGGTTGGGAAAGCCCAATACATGTTTAGCAAAAAAAAGGAGATTGCAGAGAAGTGCTTATAGTCTGATATCTTTTATCTTATCTATCTATCTATCTGATGGAAAAAAACTCAAAATAGGACATTTTAGAAAATGTAGCTAAGTAATTATTTTTATTGTGTTAAAATATATATACTGTTGATCGTTTTAACCATTTCTGAGTGTATAATTCAGTGGCATTAAATACATTCACAGTGTTGTATAACTATCACCATTGTCTATACCCAAACCTTTTAATCATCCCCGCTATAAACTCTGTACCCATTAAGCAGTAAGTCCCCTTCCCCACCACTGGTAATTTCTATTCTAACTTTCTATCTGTGAATTTGCCTATTTCAGATACATCATGTAGGTGGATTCTTACAATATTTGTTCTTCTGTTTCCAGCTTATTTCACTTAGCATAATGTTTTCAGGGTCCATCCGTGCTGTAACATATATCAGAATTTAAAGACTAGATAATGTTCTACTACGTGGACATACGGCATTTTGTTGATCTGTTGATGGGAATTTGGATCATTTTCACCTTTTTGGCTATCGTAAATAATGCCACTGTAACCATCAGTGCACAGATATCCATTTACGTTCCTGATTTCAGTTTGGACATATACCTAGAAGTAGAATTCTGGATCATATGATAATTTTGTTTCATTTTTTTTGAAGAACTGCCATACTTTCTTCCAAAGCAGCTGCACATCATTTTACATCCCACCAGCTTATGAAGGTTCTCATTTCTCCGCATGCACATCAGTACTTTTTATTTTCCTTTATTTTTATTATAGCCATCCTAGTAGGTGTAAACTGGTATCTTATTATGGTTTTGATTTGCATTTACCTAATGACTAATGGTGTTGAACATCTTTTCATATGCTGAATGGCCATCTGTGTATCTTCTTTAGAGGTTTCCATTTTTTTCAATT